TTTAGGGTTTAGGAAAACCCTAAACCCTAAACCCCAAAAAATTGTGTATTTTGGGTTTCGGCTGGCTGAAGGATTTGGGGCGGCAGAGGTGTTGAGGTTGTCGGGTTGAGGCTTCGGCTTCAGCTGCCATGGCTTTAGCTGCCATGGTCTGCTGGCTCAGGGTTTAGGGCTTCGGGTTTAGGATGTTTGGAGGTTTGCTGTTTAGTTTAGGGCTTATGGCTTAGGGTTTAAGGTTACTCTGCACGGCTTACAAGACCTTGTGCTGATCTTGCGGAGAAATATGACGATTTGCAGATGACACGTTACTCGGCAGGCTGCTCCCCCTGTGCTGATGCATGCGAGGTCCGTCCTGGAGCAACTCGCAGACATTTTCGGACATGGCAGGATATTCAACAGATATGTCGCGCTCGGTCCCCACAATACTGCGGCACCCTTGTAGCAGAAGGACCTGAAAAAGGGACCCTAATTTAGAGAACTGCCCATGTTCTCAGATCTCTAACCAGAGGAACTCCGGGTTCGTCAGCTCCAACGCTTGCAGACTCATTGCACATTGGGGTTCGCCAGCCAAAGCTCTTGCAAATGCATTGAGTAGGTCTGGGAGTGAAGCGCATCCCGAAACGCGGGACCCTGAACCCTGAACCCTACAAGCTCAAACCCTGAGCCCCCAGAGACTCCAAAAGCCCTTAATTAACGAATCATTATACCTTAAGTTATAGTAGGAACCCTAATATACGGTTTGCTGCATATTCCTTGAATAAGGGGTTTTGAAGTCTCTGAGCCTTTATTCAAAGCCTAGGCCGAAGCCTCGGCCGAAATCCTTCACTGTAACGGTAACGCAGCGCAGCCGTAGATTTTCACGTTTCGGCTGTTGGTGTACGAGGCATCAGAACCTGCATCCTCAAATCCTTCTGTGGCTTCTTCTCTTCCCAAACCCTGATTGCATTCTCTTTTGTAATTAAGATTGCATCTTGGTTCTCTGAGTGTTCATGGGAATCTAAACGGGTGCGGGAGAGCTCTACGTCCGAAAGCCCTCGAATCCCTCCGCCTCGGATTTTAGTTCCGCTTGAAGATCCATCCTAAGCTCTAAACCCTGTCGATCTACAGATGACGTTTAGGAACCCTACTGCGTGCGGCACACCTTGACATGGGGGCCCTCGAAGTTTAGGGTTTAGACAAAACAGCGGCCTTAACAGTTAAGCTTTGATTTTGGGTCACATATTGTTGCCATATGAACCAACCCCGGCGCCTCGCATTGCCGAAAACTTTACTATAGTGGTTTGGGGTACATGTCGTGATCATGCCGCCAATTCCCGATCGATGGCTCCGACCGTAACCGTGGAACGGGCTCTTTTCGTTCGACTTTTCTCAAAGAACCCCAATAAAGTAGCAGTGCCAAGTATTGAGGTCTTCTACAGTCGCCCCAGAACGGGTCCTTTTGGATCAGGCAGGCTCTTCATTCGCTTCAATTGTTCGGCCTCGGCTGGAACCGATGAGAGTCAGAAGCCAGGAGAGCTGCCTTTGAGGATGCATACCTAGCGAGTTTCAAGAGTTGTGCCAACGGTTGTGCCCTATGATCAAGGGATCATAGCCGACTATTTTGTACGGCTTTCGGATACAGGTATGATTAACCCCTAAACGCTGACAAATCTCCCAAACAGACCAAAGAGCCCGTTTAGGGTTTAGGGCGCAAGCCGGTGTAAGCCCGAAATTGAGGGACACTATTTGTCGATTCTGCCGCGAGGGTAATGCGCTGTCCGGGTATTGCTTCCATTGTTGCTACTGCTGCAACTGAGGCCACGGCTGTTACTAATCTACGTAGTGCTACTACTGACATTCCGGTGCTGCTGGTGCTTGATAAACTAAATCCGGCTAAGCCCTAAACCCTAAACCCCTAAACCGAACCCCTAAACCCTAAACCCCCAAACCTGAAACCCTAATACTGGCAGCAGACTAGTTTGGGGTCTGGGACAAGTGTCTCAGGTCCAGGTCTTTGATGACTAGAAAAGGCTGTGGGGGGGTGCATTATACCTATAGTCTGCATTGTAGCTCCTTTTTTTGGTTAACCAATTTTATGGTTAGGATCCTCTAATAGAGTTTTTGGGTAACCACAAAAAGGAACTACAATGGAGACTATAGGTAGTATATGCTAAACAGAAACTATACGTGCTTTTGGCAAGTAGAATATGAACCTCCCATCACCTGACTGGGAACTAGATGTTGTCAATGCAGTTCGCACTCTCCCTGGCTGAACAGAAACGAATTCGGCTGCAAGTAATCTGCTGCCACGGTGGCTCTGGGTGGGCAGGAAGCCGGTGCATCTTCAGTCTTATGCTGCTGCCCCGGATTGAAGAAATGCAGGGGTATTTATTCTGATATAGAAGTATAGAACCCTAGGAATTAAACCCTAAACCCTAAACCTAGGACTACGATCGCCTCTTGTTCAAACCCCTAGTACAGAGCCCGCAACCCCAAACCCTGAACAGAAACTCTGAAACTGGCGCCGGGACCCACCGATCCCAACCAGGATGTCTAGGGTTTAGGGGTTTAGGGGTTTGGGGTTTAGGGGTTTAGGGTTTAGGGTTTAAGGGTTTAGGGTTTAGGGTTTAGGGAGGCTCATAAGTAGGGCTTTAAGTGGGGTAATAAGTAAGTGGTAACTTTACTTATTACCCATATTAGGGGACTTACAACTCTACTTACGGTTGATGATAGAAATCCTGCATTACCCATAATAAGGAATAGACCATAATTCCCATAGTTTAGGGACCTTAAGGTCATGCAGGATGTATATCATCAACCCTAAACCCTAAACCCTATAGATCCCTTAAAGGAGCCCCTATAAACGTACCCTTATAGATCCTTTTCAAGGAACCCTAGGATTTATATCATCAACCGTACCACTACCCATGTAATCGGCCCTAGCCCTAGCCCTGGGGGCCCTAAACCCAAAACCCGAAACCCTTACCTTTGGTTAGTAGGGAATGTAGGAATGGGGTATAAGTATAACTACTATTACTATCATTCTTCCATTCCTACTAACCAAAGGTAAGAACCGCCATTGGTCAAGAAATCATGGAATACTAGGTTGGCCCTTTACAGCCTCTGAATAATATTCGTACATGGTATCCTTCTAAGCCCAAAACAAAAGAAAATGTCGCAAACCCTGGGCATCAAAATAGCCCAAATGCCTTATGTAGTATGGTCTTTGGGCCCAAAAGCCTTAATATATGAGTCCTTAGATGCCTAGGGAAAGGCCCACTACCTAGAATGCCCTGAGACGTTGTGGCTTCCTTCACGAGGATTTGATCTTCCGGGCTCCTTCTGCAGCATACTTAAGAGGATCATGGGACTAAGGTCTTAGGTACGATACATAGGATTCCTTGTAGGGGTTCTTAAAGGTATCTATAAGGGTTCCCTATTGCTGATTTGAGGGTTACTTAAAGGATCATGGGCCTTAGTAGCTGGCTTCCTTAACGGGGGTCCTAAAAGGGATCTATATGAAGGTTACTAGAACGGTGCTATAATGGTTTTAGGGGTACTTCAAGGATCATGGGCCTCAAAAACCTAGGGTTCCAGAAAAGGTTCCTTAGGGGATGTCTAGGTATATCTAGGAGCTTGAAGTTTCAAGAAACATGGCACGTAGTAGCTAGGGTTATATATATATATGTATAATAAGGTAATAATGCTAGTAAAAACTGATGCCCCCCAATCAAGGGAAATATAACCTTACTTACAAAGTCCCATGAACCTCCAAGCACATCGCCCTCGATGTTTGCTGCAAATCCGCTGCCCGCACGTCTACATCACCAGCTCACAACACATGAAGGCTCAACAGAAAGACTGAAAGTCCAAGGGCAAACGGAGGGACCTTTAGTAAGGACACCTAGGTATAGACCCTTAATGTAGATATCATATACCCATTGTATGGCCCATTGCAGGGTAGGGGGCCCATTAAGGGTCCCTCCTTTTCCCCGTTGAGAAGGACTTGAGTGAGCCCAATTTATGCTGGAGCGCGTTGAACATGCCTCACTGAATCGTTGCTTGAAGAGTCCCCACTGATCCTGAAGGCACTACTGGCCAAGGAGGTAGCTTGCGCGCCGCTGGCACTCCTCAACCTCCCGTGGCGTACCAATACGGTTATGGCTTCACGGGCTTGTTAGAGCGTTTGTGTACACTATATATATAAATATATATATATATATATATATATATATATGTTGGCTTCAGAGGCAACAAAGACTTCGAGTCCAAGTAAAAGCTCAGAGGACTTTGAAAGTAGTAGGCCATGGGCAGGAAAAAGACGGCAAGGTAACATGTACTCTGGAGTACTGATCAGTGCAGGCTACGTACTTCGAACAGAACCCTAAACACCTATGTTGGAAAGCCTTCCCCTAAGGGTCCCAGTACCTAATTATCATATACTCTCCCAAATAGTAACCTACATAACGCAAGTACCCGATTATTGGGTCCTTTGGACCCGTGGGGTTCAAGCAACAACCGTAAACTTGACAACGCCAGGCAGAAACCCCAACTCTGTCATTCACCCAAAGGCTCCATGTACCCATATAGTAGGTACTTAGGCCTCGAAGGGGTCCCTATATAGGTACTTTAAGGCCTACGTACCTACTATATGGGTACATGGAGCCTTTGGGTCACAATCCCCCGCAAAGACTCCAGACACTAAGCCCGCATTCCTGAACCCTACCTGGACCCCAAAAGTATGTAGAATCATAGCCTTTTATAGGCTTTGGGCCATTATTTTACCTACTTTGGGGGGTCTAGGTAAACCCTAAACCATCATTTAATTCATACCCTGACAAAAAAGAAGAAGCAGAAAGCATAAGTTCTCGCCATGGCTCAGCACACCATGCAAGGGTTTAGGGCTTGGGCTCCAGGCTTAGGGATTGAACGCTTTGAAAACAACCCTTTCGAATCTCATGAGAGCCAGCACTTCCAATAAACACCGGCAGGGACATGTCTTTTTCGTTGTCCTTGCTTGGCACCTACTTGTCGGCCCCCACCCCCTGCTGGAGCAAGAGCTCGACTTGAGAATGACCTTGCGAAATTGCCATAGACAAGGCTGTGCTGCCATTGTCATTCGCAACATCCTTGTTGGCACCGGCATCCAGCAGCAAGCGGACGTGTTCGACCTGGCCCTTGCTAGATGCTAGCATCAAAGCTGTGTTCCCCTTGTTGTCTACCAGATCCGTGCTGGCGCCAGCAGCCAACAGCAAACGCAATGCTTCGACAGTCCATGCCACCATCAAAGCTGTGTAGCCGTTGTTGTCTGCGAGGTTCTTATCGGCACCAGCCTCTAGTAGCAAACGCAGGAGTTCCAATTGACATTGCTCAGCTGCCAGCATTAAGGCTGTGCGGCCACTAGCGTCCGCCAAATCCTTGCTAGCCCCAGCGTTCAGCAGCAAACGAAATGCCTCGAAATGCCTACGTCCAAGCACCACCATGAAAGCTGAGTCAACCAGGCTTTGGTCGGCGCCAGCTCCCAGCAGCGAACGCAAAACTTCCACATGACATACCCCGGCTGCTAGCATTAAAGCTGTCATGCCACTGTCGTCTGCTAAATCCTGGCGTGCGCCAACATCCAGCAGCAGACGGACGACTTCGACATGACCCTTGAACGATGCCGCCATCAAGGCTGTGCAGCCATTGTCGTCTGCCAAGTTCTTGTCGGCACTAGCCTCCAGCAGCAACCGCAACACTTTCACATGAGGCTGCATAGCTGCCAGAATTAAAGCAGTGTGGCCGCTGCATCCGCACGGGTCTTTCACATTCACGTCGGCACCTGCCTCGAGCAGCAGGTGCACAACCTCGACATGACCGTTCTCGGATGCATTCATCAAAGCCTTGGCTGACTTCTGAGCCCATCCTAAAAGTTAAACTTTTGGCCGTTTTAGCCTTCTCATTATAGTTCATACAGAAACCCGAAAAGTTTAAAGTCCTAAGAGCCAACCAGAAGAACGTCAAGAAGCTGTCTTGCCGCTGTGAATGTTCACAGGATCCTTTTCGACGCCAGCCGCCAGAAGCAAGCGGACCATTTCGGTGTGACCTCGCCCCGATCCCACAAAGTCCTAAGTACCTATATACCTAAACCCCCAAAGAATGTAAAATAATGGCCCAGTGCCCATAAAAGGCTATTATTCTACGGGTCTTGGGATAACCATAATGAGGAACCCCCCCAAAACCCTATTCTAATTCTTAAGGCCCCTGCATTAATCTACCTACAGGCTCATACCCTACCCCTTTTTTAGGATACCTAGCTTAAAAAGGTAGGCGCCTTAAACAAAGGGTACGGTATGAGCCTCTAGGTATATAGTGGAATGCAGGGCGTCTATGTTATGATTTGGGAAGCTATTCCCAGCCCCTGAGACTCCAAGTATGCAAATCGTACCTACTTTGGGGTCTAAAGTCCATAAATACTACCTATTTTGGGCCATTTGGAGTCTTGGGGAGCAGCAGTACCTCGGCCAGCTGCCATCATCAAAGGTGTTCCACCGTCCGACCCCGTGGATAGCCCGCAGGGCGCTGCGCCTGCCTCCAGCAGCAAGGCTGCAGCTTGCAAGTGACCTGCCTCTCTTCTTCACTCACCGGGCCCAAAAAGTTCTAGGGATCGAACAGATATACCCCACATATGTAATTAAATGCATCCCAAATTTGTATACTTAAAGATAAGCCAAATATCAAAAGCAAATATACCCCATATAATACACTAAGGTCAAAAAGGTTCAGGAAGTTCTCCCGTTGACTGCCCCAAAACCCTAAACCCTAAAACCCTAAAGTGTAAAGTTCTTCCCTTGACTATCCAAGCTTCGTAAGCTGCGCACCCCAGAGGTCGGAAGCCGTAGGAGGGGAGGTCTGGGTCTTGTGGCAGCTGAAGCATGGACTCAACCTGGTCAGGGTTTAGGGATTAGGGGACTCAACAGGGGGGGGGGATTCTCTGATGCTTCGCGGCACCGGGCTGTAACCCCAAACCCACAATCCGCAAACCCAAAATCCTTGAACCATGATCCCTCCTCTCAGCCCTAGTCTCTATGAGGCATAAACCCTCAACCCTCAACCCTAAAGATCCTTATAGAACCCGTACTTATGGATCCCTTTAAAGGAACCCTAGAGATCCCTTTAAAGGAACCCTAGACTCTCTATGGATCCCTATATTCCCTAAACTGCTGACCCTAGGGCTCGAAGATCTAGGGCGGAGGTATCTCAGTTCCGCAGAGGGCCTTTCCGTTTAGGGTGTAGGGTTTTGGGTTTAAGGTTGGGATCTCTCGGGTTCCTTTAGTTTAAACGGAGCCATAAGGGTTCTATAAGGGATCTATAGGGTTTAGGGTTTAGGGTATAAGGATTTTTAGGGTTTAAGGTCTAGGGCCTAGGGTTTAGGGCTTAGGGTTAGTGTAAGGTTTAGGGAACCGAAACGATACAAAAGTAAATGGCTCGAAGATACCAGTATGTGTCGGTTTTCCATAAACCATAGGGGCCAGGATGCCTGAAAGATTATGACTGCCTTCCTATGTTCGGCAATGGCCCGCAACGTACCCATCAAGGGCCCTTTATGACATGATACCCTTCAGGGCACCCTTAAGCATTTCCGAAAAGGGTGCCTGTAACGGCTTCGTTTGTGTTGAACTCTCTTGGCTAAGACGAAGTGCTATCGGCCTATACCTGGACACCAAACGTATGTAGAATCATAGCCTTTTATAGGCTTTGGGCCATTATTCTACCTACTTTGGGGGGTCTAGGTAGGGGTTCCTTTAAAGGGAACTATAGGGGTTCCTTTAAAGGGATCTATAGGGTTCCTTTAAAGGCATCTATAGGACCTACTTTGGGGGGTCTAGATAGTGGGGTGGAGGGCTTCAAGGGTTCTGGCAAAAGAAATGTCGATTCACGCCCACAGTTTGGCGCTCTTTTGGGTTTGCAGTAAACGCTATAAAAAGGGATCCTTTGAGGGTTCCTTAAAGGGATCTTGAGGGTTCTATAAAGGGTTTAGGGTTTAGAGTTTCCGAAAATACATAAAGTCGGAAACCGGATTAAGGCCAAATAGTGCTGAGATTCCCTGTACACTAGTCTTAAGGATTGAGGCGATTGGGTTTCTAACTTTTAGGCTTCTAATGTAGGGTTTTGGGCTGCTTTGAATGAGAAGGGGCGCCTAGGCTTTGACCGAAACAGCACTTTCGGCTTTTCAGGTTACAAGCTTGAAGGTGCCAGGTTTGAAACCCAAACGGGTCCTGGGTAGCGATATAGGGATTCGTGCCCCAAGAGTAATTGGTGGCAATTTCCTACTCTAGAAACTTACTTTCTACTATAATGCCGGTATTTAGCATCCTTTGGGAAACCCAGAGAGCCCAATACCCCCTCATGGGGGAATATACCTTAAGTCACAATATGAACCCCCTTATGATTTAAGGTATATTCCTTAATTAAGGGGTATTGGGCTCTCTGGGAACACCCAACCTCCTCCAGTCTGCCCTGACCAGCGGCGGCGGCCAAGCCATCCACCTGCGCTGGAGAGACCTCCGCGAAGTTCAAGAAAATGAGATCCAAGTCCATCGAAGATTCCTGGGCTCGTACTAAGGGTTTAGGGTTTATAGGCCCTTTAAGGGATCTATAGGGGTTTGGGGTTTAGGGTTTATAGGCCGTTTAAGGAACTTAGCTAGAACTTACCGGGACCCCCAAAGGAATGTAGAAGAATAGCCTGTTGTAGGCGTTGGGCCATGATTTTACCTACTTTGGGGGACTAGGTAGTTTGAGTTACCATAAGGACCATGATAAGGACGTCATACTGTCTACTCTAGACAACGGCTAAGGAAGCTTAAACTGATCCTGAGGCTCCATGTGCCCATATAGTTTTTTTCTTAAGCTTTCAAGTGCCTACATAGGAACCCCTTTAAGGCCTATAGGGGTTAGGGTTTAGGGGTTTAGGGTTTGGTACATAGTATTGTAAGTGCATGGAGGCTTAGGATCCATTCCTTAACCAAAGCTTAGCTTCCAGCTCGGCAGAGTCCTCCAAAGTCTCGCCTTGGAGAAGGATCCTTTGCCTCTGACTTGCGCAGTTCATTGGCACCAACAGGTTTACACGGTTTAGGGCCTACTTCCCGTTGGTTAGTAGGGAATGGAGGAATGGTATACAAGTATAACTAATACTACTACCATATTCTTCCATTCCAGTAGGGTAAGTTTAGGGATGTTTGGGGTTTACGGTTCAGGGAATTGCATTATCCCTAAAAGTGTAAACTGTGCTCATTCAACTGCTAGGGCCTGAATCGCGGAGGGCAGCCATGCAGCTCATGAAGGTGCGCTTCAAGCTTCTCCTGGGACTGTAGGACTACTATGAGGGATTACGGGGTTATATAAGGATCTAAAGTTAATAATACGATGTCTGTACTTTGGTAACTTAAAGTAAAAACTACTGAACAACAGCTCAGTCTCACATCCGTGATCTTTTCCACGGGTATGGTCGTCACTAAGTCCCCGGAGAGCCCCCTGATTCGCAGCATTATCGCGACGATGGCGAAAATGGACAGTCCGAAGACAACAATTTCACATTGAAGCCAGAAGCACATAAACTTGATGTAGGGACCCTAATAATTAGAATAAAGCTTTGGGGCCCACAATACTATTGGTATTCATAAAGGCCCTTTATATTAAACCCTAAACTTGCCCTAAACCGTGCTGTTGCTGCTGCCTCTGCACTCATTTTGGCAACATTCCAGCAAGTGTGCCTTACACCGTTTAGGCTCTGAGCCAGAAAACTTCTCTGAGGGATCCAACACCGCCAAATTTAGGGGTTAAAGGTTAAGGGTTCTAGGGCACAGGGTTTCGGGCTTCAGGGTTTCAGGGGTTGCAGCGTCTAGGGTTTGAGGCTTTAGGGTTTAGGGCTTAGGGTTTAGGAGGGTTTCAAGGATTTGGGCTTAAACCCAAAAGCCTCGGCCTCTAACCGCCGCACACCGAATTCTAAAAAAAAGAAATGCTGCGTTGAGGTGCATTATCGTTGGGGCTTAGGGCTTAGGGATTTAGGGGCTTTAGGGGCTTTAGGGTTTTATCATATAAATCATGGGGTTATCAAGGCATAACAGTTGGATGAAACCCTTCTGCTTTGGGGCCACAGGCTCTAACCATTAAAGAGTAGATCTGTCTTTCCCTAAACCTCTAAACCCTAATGGTCCGAGGAACCCTTATGTAAAGGAACCCTTCGAAGCTCTAAGCTTGATTTGGAATGTCAACTGGTTCGTTTGTTTTTTTTTTTTTTTTGCGGGCCCTTTTCCGACTGCATTACCAGGGGAATACCTTACCAGGTGGAGCCTTTGTTGGGGCCTCAGTGGGAGTACAGGAGTTTGTGATACTTCTGGTTCGGTTTAGGGTTTAGGGTTTCGGGTTTAGGGTCAGCTGGCTCTGCTGAAAGGATCATGGGACTTAGTAACTAGGGTTATCTATGAGGTTACTTTACTTACCACGATGTACTTAGCAACTTATAACCCACAACCACGTACCTATACGCATATTCCAACTTGTTATATAAGTTTTAGCTCCCTAAGTAAACCCTTATAGACTAAGAGCCCTTACTTAAACGCTCGCTCCCTAGATAAACCCTTATAGACTAAGAGCCCTTCCTTCAACGCTCAAACTTTCTGGGGCAGGTCTCTTATTGTATAAGTCTTAGCACCCTAGGTAAATCCTTATAGAGCCCTTCCTTAAACGCTCAGCTTTCTGGGGCAGGTCTGCTTCCGTTTTCTGGGGCAGGGCCAAGTGAGGAGCCGTGGGTAGAAGGCTTCGGGTTTGAGGTTTCGGCGCAAGGCCTTACTCAAACGTTCATGGGGTTCTATAAGGGGGGTTTAGGGGTACTTCAAGGATCATGGGATTTAGGCGCAAGGCCTTAGGGTTTAGGGGCCTAGTAAGGGTTCTTAAAGGGCTCTTTAAAGGGATCTATAGGGTTTCTCAAAGGGATTTATGGGGGTTTAGGGTTTAGGATCTACGTAAAGGATCATGGGACTTAGTAAGTAGGGTTATAATTAAGGTAACTATACTTTATAACTACTTATAACCCCAATCAAGGTACTCGGTTACTTCAGGGTTTAGGGTTCAGGGATTACCCCCACGAGTCCTAAACCAGCTGCCTGGTTCTTATTAAGGAGTTTAAATTGAGTGGCCATAATCCTGATCTGCAGTAAATAATGCGGCTTCTTTAGTATGGCAACTCAAACACATTCTTTAACAAGAGCCCAGTTTGTATATCCCCTCTTCTCAGACCCCCAACCATCAAGTATTCACGACCAGAAGGGCTCCTTTAAAGGGCCGTTCCTGTAGACCCCTTATAGAACCCTATAGATCCCTTTACAGGAACCCTACAAAATCCTAAAGCCCCATTGGTCCCTTATGGGTCCCTCTTCTTCGGGGCTGTGAGGCGCCTGGACCCTCTTCGCGTTTAATTTTGCAGATTGAGACGCCGAGCTTCCAAGATCATCCCAGTGAGATGCAGGGTTTAGGACTGAGGGTTTAGGGTTTAGGGTGTAGGACTTAGAGTTTAGGATTTAGGGTTTAGGGTTTCTGTAGACGGGAACCAATACTAAAAGCAATCCACCTTAAATGGCTTAGTTGAGGAGTTGAGGGGTGTAGGACTTGCTCTTCACAGCTTGGGGGAAAAAGGACAGCAGCCTCCATCAAGATCTTCTTCGCCCGTTCGCTCAACTGGCGCGGGATGCAAGGTGAGCATTCTTGGAGGCAAGGGCTGTTTGAAGGGTTTTGTATGGCCGCATGGTGTTCTCATTACGGGTTTTGGGCGTCCTGGGACCAAGGGTTGAGACGGTTCGGGGTTCGTTTCAATGATAAACCTCTTCAGGTAGGGTCTCTATTCAAGTCTCTCATTTGAGTAACTCCTGTGTGTCTGCGGGGTTGCTTCGGGCGCTGTAGCCAGTCCCTAGACCCCAATCCCTAACCCCTAAACCGTCAGTACCTACCCGTCACCTCACTGCCTCACTTTCCTTGTGACTCTGATGCTGAAGCCCGGAACCTCGGAATCTAGAACCTGAGCCCTACCCTGAACTCTACCAGCAGCCAAACCTAGAAGCTGCACAAACCTGCTTGAAACCTGATGAAAATCCTCAAGCCCTATGGCTTAGGGTTTAGGGTTAAACCCAACAATCACACGACAGCGGAAAGCCTGGCCAACCCAGTAGTAGCTAAGTCTCAATAGACATCGGAATCTAAGTTACCCTGAACCCCAAAGCCCTCAATCGTAGCTAGGGTGTACCGGCCTAACAATTTGAATAGGGTTTTGGGGTCCGTTATACTATAAGTTAGTTATCATAAGGAACCCCCACAATAGTAAAGGTAGCTATTTAGGCCCCTAGAGTAGGGCCGTCTCGGGTCGATTGCTCCAGAATTCTGCAAAGCCTGGAGGCAGGAGGACTCCGAAGGTCCAGCGCGCCGCTTGCGAAATGGCCTTCCGGCGCGATTTAGGGTTCAGGGTTTAGGGTGCTTCGGGAACACAAACCTTCCAAAATGCCCAAAATAAGGAATGTCGTTTAAAAGTTGCGATAGGAACCCTAATCCTAATTCAGGAACATCCTTTAAATTCTGATAGGAACCCTAATCCTAATTTAAACGAACCTACTCTGAATGATTATAGGAGCCCTATTACGATTTTGAGGTATGGGAGCTTCCGAAATAGCGGACCCTAAGATTGGGCGGCCTAATTAGGACCGACAAACGTTGGCTCGGATAGGTGACTGGTTTTGGCCTTGGCCGGCCGGACTACCATCGCGATGAAAAGCTAGTCGGGAAACCATGATTCTTGCTGAAAATTTCTTGCTCATATCACATGGGTGTTTTTAACATGTTTTGTCATGACATTTTCTAGTGTGAGGCATGTTTTCAATCGTCCACGCTTTCCAAAAACGACTGAATCTAGGATTGGCGAAGATTAGCACACAAGCTCTTTTTCGCCAGTGTATTGTTGTATACTCTGGTGTATGATTTTTGCAGTATTATGCGAACTGTTTGGACAATCCAAGCCAAATCTAGGATGCTTCAAAAAAGGCAGGCATTAATCCAAAACAACCGACCAATCGGCAAAGCTTACCTTCACGCTTTTTGTGCTCAAGTTTATAGGAAAATATGTTGCTCGCCAGTGTGGTTTCGGAGCTGTTTAGTCTTTTGAATTAACGGAGCGAAGACCAAAACTTCACGAGAAAACTGGTTGCTATATGTTTATTTTGAATGATGTGGTCTGAGATTGAATTTAATGAGCAAATAAGGTTCTAGGCCTTAGGAGGGTTTAGGGGGAAGGTTTCGGGAAAAACGGGTGGTTCCTTGAGGCTTTTGAACTTATGACGCCTAGTGTAGGGTCGGGGTTTCAGGGTTTAGAGTTGTTCGTGTTATTTAGGTTTGACTGTTAGGGCAAACCCGATCTCCGCGAACGGCCGAAGCAACGCCAAGCCGTTTCTCGCTGTAGCCGATCGCCCGCAAGATCCAGCACCTGGCACAGGCTGCGGCCGAAAACGGGCAGGGTTGCGGGGGGGCAAGAGAGAAGGTAGCAGACATGTGCTGGGTGTCCTGTGCAGGCCTACAACACGAAACCAACAACTGCATCATGAGAGCAAAAGCTGCAAATTTTTCTGCTTCTCTGAACGACGTGGTCTGGGCGAGATGCAAGGCCGGCCGCGGTCCTGGCGGCAAACCTAAAGAGAGCCTTCGCTGAAAACTGCCAGTCTCAGTCGAGACGGCACGGGGGTCGTGCTGACCGAACGGCTTTTTGGATGATCTTCAGCAGGCCTGGCAAAGCTAGCCGTCGATTGGCCGGCACGAAGGTCTGCTTCAGGACCTCCAAAACGACCTCATCGTACGGCATGACCTTGGAGCTCTTAGCGAGGGCCATCTCCCGAATGGCCTTGGCCGTCTGCTCCTCGGTGTCCCGGAGGAACGTCGCAGGTGGGATTGTCCACAGCGAGGCCTTTTTGGGGCAACAGATCTCGAACAACGAGACAGCGGCCGCCCAAACGTCGCCGGCGAACGTCACACGTACCTGGCAGGGTAGAGTCTTCGAGGCTGGGGCTGCTAGGGCGGTGCAGAATTAGAACGACAGAGGCAAAGGTTACTGCTTGCTGTACATTTACAAACTCACCAAACAAAAGTCACACTTGAGACCAAAACTCCTGCACACTTGCTACCGCTACTACGGGTTAAAGGGTCCTATTAGGTTTAGCTTATAGGTTTTAGAAATCCGGCCTTCCGATCGGCCGCCATGAGGCACTCCGCACAGCGAAAGGCCTCGGTGTAGACCCGATTGCCGATCACCGTGCAGCCAGTGTCCGAAACGTGCTCCGAGTGGCCGAAATCTGCAACTGCTGCACGAACGCCATCGAAGACCAGGATGTTCGTGGGCTTGACGTCCAAATGCAGGAACGAGCGGCTGTGCACGTAGGAGAGGCCGACAACGAACTGCTGAAAGAGGTTGAGCAGCGACCTTCGCCCGGCCGGCGAGGTCTCCAGGCGGTCGTCCTTCAGCCTGCGAGCCATTTGCTGCAGGCTCTCCGTTGCCCACTCGAGGACCAGAGCTGGCCTTCCGAGCGAACTGCTGAGAACGGCGAAGGCTCGAACGACGTTCGGGTGCTGGCCAAGCGCCCCGAGAACGGCGAACTCCTCCGCGACGTCGAGGCCACCTGCGGCCGCCCGCTGCATCGGGTCCTGCAGCCCGCGACCCTTGGCCAGCTTCAAGGCCAACGACTGTCCTTGGAACGAGGCCCGAAAGACCTGTCCGTCGACCCCACTGCCCACCTCGACCAAGTCGCGAAAAGGCACGCCCAACGTCCAGGTCCAGGAGTCCTCGAGAACGTCCCTCCTAGCACAATCGGCCTCGATGTCCTCCTGCACTCGAACGGCTATGGCCTCCGCATCCTCGTCTTGGGCACGATCCACCTGCTGTTCGTCGAACAAGACAGAGTCTTTGCTCCGGGCAGTCTTGAAAGCCTCTGCCCTTTGGCGGTTGTCCTCGTAGGCCGCCTTTGCCATCGCCCCGAACTGCTCGCGAATGTCCTTGCTCTTCTTGTGGTTCCTCAGTGCAGCACAGCTTCTGTTTTGCAGGCCCTGAAACAAAACTCTAAAAACCTAAAGCAAAGCACCTCAAAAACGCACCTACAAGCCTACAAACCCCGTAATTAGGGATGGGTTCCAGGTTTAGGGCTGCGACTTCAACTTAGTTACAGTGATTGGAATGCTCTAGTATTGCTGGCATTCGGGGTTCCGCTGACATGAAAATGTGAATTATTCCAAAACCGGACCTGAAAGGAAAAAAACAATCAAAAACCTTGGAAAAAAGCTGAAAAGCACCTGAAACGCACCTCAAAAAAGCTGAAACGCACCTCCAGGCTTAGAAAGGGTATTCAAGGATGGGTTGACGTTTAGGGCTACGACTTCACAGTATTTACTATTACAGTATGACAACCCTTTAGTGAGTAAGGCCTTCGGGGTCACGTCTGAAGGCTTTGCTGTTCTGGGCAAGGGAGAATAAATTCCCAAAAGACTTATAACTTAAATTAGGGAAGCCATGTCTTCTACTTTCCTCAAAGCTAAAAAATACAGGTCCGAGCAGCCACTTGACCTTCATGGCGGATGCCGTCCGCAGCATCCGCTTGCCACGGATGCGAAACCGGGCCGCCTGTTTTTCTGACAGACCTTCGCGAGAGACCCAGGAGTTGAAGAGACTCCAGGCACTGGCTCTCCGAACGCCTCCCGTCTCCGTCAAGGATGGCCGGGGCATGGCGACTGCGACGGCGACGAACGACTAAGCACGAAGGACGAACGACCCAGGAGGAACGCGACAGCAGGACAAGGACTATTACTGTGACGTCTACTGCGAAAACTTCGGGTGCGAGGAGGACTCCAGGACTAGTAGTAAAATCAAGATGACTGGGACTTGGACCTCTACAGATACTAGTAGCACTAGCAAGACTCCTGCGACTACTGCACCACTGCTAGTACCACCAGCACGACCTGACTGCTTCATCTCCTCTAGTCGCACGAGGAAACCAGACTACCTACAAAGGGATCGCTAGCTTGTGCATCGCTCTAAGCCACAGAGTGGAGTCTTCTCAAGTGCACAGCCCAACAGCAGGAAGACTACGCATCACCGGCACTGCACTGCAGACCAATCATGCCGTATAGGAGCCTGCTTCACGCCGACGCTGGAGGACGAGCTTGAAGACGGCCTGCTGTTGACCTGGGCGAAGCAAGGCGACAGGTTCTGCTATTGAGTTCGAAAGCACAGTGCTCAAACGAAAGCTGCTTATGCACTGAAACTGGTGGTCTGCAGCTGCAACCTTTTCGAAGCACGGAGCTCGTTCGAGTGACTGCTTCCGAACTTCCAGCAAAAGAAGGGACGTCCACCGTGAAAGCTTCCAGGAACGACCAGGAGCACTCAGGCCGACAACTTCTTCAGGATCGTTGCGGCCTCGTCCGACATGGCGAGGCCCGCGAACGTCTCCGCCCAGTCCCAGCTTTGCTCAACCGCAGCCCGCCCGGCCGGCTTGCTGCCGACCTGAGTCCAGGAAATGCTTCTGGTGGCGAAGGCCCAGGCCGTGCTGTACGTGAGGCTCCATCGGCCGTTCCGGTCGTCGGTGTACACACGAACGCCCGGCGGCACGGCAGCCTTGAGGACCCGGTCGACGTCCACGTTCACGTCGTCGTAGACCCTCTTCGCCTCGGCCGCCCGTGCTTTCTGCTCCTGAACGGCCTTCTTCTCCTTCTCCTTTCGCTGGGCCTGGAACTTCTTGTACTCCGGCCGACCAGCGAACGTTTTGGCCACGTGCTCGTAGGTGTGAGAGGCCCTCTTCCGCACGTCCTTGGCCGACGCCTGACCGGCCTTTTTGTTCGCCAGATGCTTGAGCGCCTGCTCCTGATCTGCGGCCAGCATGGTGTCCCGCACGAGCTCCTCCAAGTCGATGCCCGTGTCGAACGACCAGGGAGCGGCCTCTTGGCGGCTCAGCAAGCGGCCGACCACTTCTTCCTTGACCAACGAAGGGTCGAGCGACAGCAAACAAACTATCGCTAGGCGGTCGTCTTCCTCGTGTCCTGCCTCCTGGACCGAGACCGGCCACTTTTTGGCCTGTGCAAGCTTCCGCAGAGACCACTCTGGCACTCCCGCGAACCCGTGCAGCTCGTGGTGGCGGAGCAACGAGTGCCGGGCCTGCACACGAAAGGCCACTCCCAGAGGCCTGGTCTCGCCGAGAGACCGCAAGCCTCGGCCACAACAGGAGCTTCCCGAGTTGAAACTTAGGGTTCCGCCTGTTCAACGTTACAGTTCGGTGTTTCAGTAGAGCCAGTAAAGCTTGTGACCTTCACTCAGAGACAGCAGAATGTCTTTTGGGCACCTTATGCTTGGGATTAGAGTAAACAACAACAAAAAGCATGGAAAAAAGCTGAAAAGCACCTGAAACGCACCTCAAAAAAGCTGAAACGCACTAAGTCACAAAGGCCCACCCGCTGATACTCCTGCACCTGTGACCGCCCTTATGAACAAACATTCTTAGACCAGGACCCTTAGGAACAAACATTTTTCAAGTAGATATAAATTAGCTATCGAAACAATAACAATACCCTTAAAAAGACGCAGCCAGGACACGCTGTGGCGACGTGGCCACGAGATCGAGAACCTCGACGTTCTCGTCGAACACGTGCACCCAGCACAGAGAGGCCGCAGTTGTGTCGAGCACGAGTCTCTCAACGCCCGAAGGACCCTTGTCCAAAGTGGCCGGCCACACCAAGGCCGCTCGCTTGTACGTCCGGACGACGAAGCAGACGCTGTCTGAGCCCGGGAAGGCGAGGCCGTGCCCCTCTGGGACCAGAGAAGACCACCATCCTTTCTCGACGAAGGACCAGTCCTTCGACTCCCGAACCACCTTCGCCAACAACGAGAAGCCAGCGAGCTTGTCCTGCTCAGAGTCGGGAGTGTGGGACGCCCAAGTGCGAGCCTGGCTGACCCCTTTGCAAACGGCCTCCTCTGCAGTCTCCTCCGCCACGGCGGGCTGCGAGCTGCTGGCAGACCCAGTGGCGATTGACCCGCTTGTCGTTCGCCTCTTTTTGCGAACGAACCAGGCATCGGAATCGAACGATGTGGGAAGGGTGACCAGGGTGCCGTTGGGCACTTCCGAACGGCCGTAATCCTTGAAGAGCCTCTTCCTCGAGAGGCCATGCCACCCTTCCAGGCGGCCGAGAGTCTTGGCAGTCCCGTTTCTCTGTTCTGCCTCACGCTGCACTTTGTTGGCATCTTCGACCAACTTCGAATTCAAGAGGCCGCCCCAGCAACGCCGCAGAAAGTCGAACGTCCCAGGCGGGACCTCGACGAAGGACGCCGCACGCAGCTCGGCCAACACCATGCCCATGACAGGCCCTGTGGCCGGATGGCCCTCGAGCATTGTCTTGGCATCGAGAGACCCGGTCTCCTGTACGGCCTTCACAGTCACGTCCACCGCCTTCAAAAACTGGAGACTGGCCTGGCGAGAGGCCGTGCTGTCGTGGAGGAGCCCAGCGGTAGCACCCCAACCATTCGTGCTCGGCAGCTGTGAGCCGCACCGGAAGCGAAGCAGGCGAACGGTGAGCTTCACGACCCGTCGAGCCAGAGTGTCCTGGTAGACGAGGGCGGCTTCGTCGCAATCGTCATCATGGTCCATGGCCATGTTCAAGCCCAGTCGCTGCAAGGCAGCCAGGTCCGAGAGACGAACCAAGTGCTCTCGAGCGGTCTCCACGTAGCCCCAGTGGGCCCAAGCGGCATACGTGGACACGGTTGCATCGAAAGACCTGAGCTCCTCGAGCATTTTGCTGCAGCGAACGCCTTCGGGTTGCAGCACGAAAAAAATCGTTCTCGCCAGCGATCGGTTGTCAGGGCTGCATGCGAAGGACGTCATGCCGTGTAGTGTGTTCACCGAACTGCTTCGCTGTTGCTGCATCGTTTTGCGAGCGGCCGCCTTCGCAGCTGACCTGCTTCCAGTGCTGGCCTCCTGCACCTTGCCGGCTCCGGGAGCCCAGAGTGCCGAGGCACTCGTCGTCCAGCCTTCGGCGATGCACAGAGCGGCCAAAACCAAACAGAACGACGACCAGTCCCTGTCCAATTCCGAATGGGCGATGGACAAGCTGTTGAAGCGAGAGTGCGAGGCCTTGCTTCCCTTGGACCGAACGAACGACCTGTTCGGCAGGCCCTCCAAAAAAAGCCGCCGATTCTCCTCCGTGTTCTCCTCCTGCGAACGACCCTCATCGGCCAGGATGTCCGGGAAGAACGTCAAAAGGAGCGGGTCGGAGGGCGACATGGAAAGGCTCATTTCGTCGGCCATGCTCTGGACCTTGCCGAACCAGGTTCCTTTGTTCCACGGCCCGTACCGAACGTTGTAGAGGCCGAGCGAGACGAGGGCGAATGTCAACAGTCCCGCCGACGCCATAGCGAGATGAACGTCGTTATGGCTCCTGTGGGCGGGGTCGTTGACGAACTCCACGAACAGCGAGCGACCAAACTTGAGATAGTTCACGGCCGCCAACTGTGTCGCTTCCTGATCGGTGCAGAGCACGATCACGTTGGGCCTCTTGGCACTGTCGGCCGAGGGACCACACGAGGACCAACTCCAGCCGACGGCCGAGAGGCTGTGCGAAACGTCCCGCAGCCACTCCTGAGTGGCCTGTCGCTCCGGTTCCCGAACTCCGCCTGTGCTCTTGCCTGCCGAACGACCTTTGGTGCCGGCCTTTTGGAAAAATTTCGTGATGCGGCCCTGCCACATGTCCACGAAGTTCTCGGCCGTGAGGCAGGTTCCCTTCTTCACCTGTCACAGGGTGACTTATCCGATGTAGCTTCGAGCCCCTAAACCCTATGATACACCTAAAACCCTATTATTATACACCCTAAACCCGATTAGCTCAGCACTGACAGACGAACCACCCTTAGCGAAGAAAACTGCTCTAAACCCTAAACCTTCAAACACAAACACCGAAGCACACTATCTCAAAACCAACAAGCCTTCCTAAGCAAAACAAAAACCATCGCCGAGGAGGCTGCGATTCTTCTTCCCAAAAATTAGTATCACGCAAAGCAGACCTAAAACTACGCTTAACTCGGCTGCCTGGAGTTCGCTATTTTGGAGCCCCTGGAAGGCCGTTCTGGGGGTCCCAAAAGTGGTCCCAAAATGGTCCCAAAATGGTCCAAAAAATGGTTCAAAAATGGTCCAAAAATGCGCCATTTTGCGCCCGAAAAACAAGGGACGGATAGACGTATGGTTTTGGCGGCGACGGCCGAAAGGACGGATAGCCGTATGGTTTTCGAAAGGACGCTTTGGTGTATGGTTTTGCCTGGAGTAGGCTGTCATACAGATAGAAGGCAGCCGAGGGAGCTTTTGGGTTATCCCGGGTCCCCCGGCGAGCGAAATAAGGACGGATAGGTGTATGGTTTTTGGAAGGCGTGTTTGGTGTATGAAAACCCAAAGGACGGATAGCCGCAGACCGGCCGAAAGGACGGATAGCCGTATGGTTTTTTCCGGACCAAAATCGATGCCGATTTGGGGCTCTGGGGGGCCGGTGTCGCTCAGCAGAAACCTCCTTATCCACCTCTTAAATAATGTTTCAAAACCATAAAATACTCTCAAGCTGCCTACTGAAGTTGAAACCGCCCAAAACAAACCAGCCTGTGGCGGGCAAAAGAACGACACGTCGCAGCCAGGATCGCACACGAAGACGTTCAACCAGTCGTCGTCGCCGACGTGAACGGCATCCGCGACCACGCTGAGGACGGTAGTCGACGAGAACGTCGACTGTCCGCTGCTGCAGTACGAGAGTCGCTCTGACTCCAAAAACTTGCCTGGCTTGTCCCGGTTCCGGGTAGTCTTCTCCTCGACGGACGACGTCAAGTGTTTCTGAGACTGTAGAGCAGCTGCAATGGACGGCCCGGCTGCCGACCCTGCCTGCAGAACGGCCTCTTGACAGCCGTGCGAGACCTTCCGGTAGCCGCGAGCTGTCCTGCAAGTGTAGGCTTAAAGAAAAGGTGTTTAGGGTTACTTTACAAAGGTTTCGCACTTAACCTAAACCTTGGGCCTAGCGAAAAATTATGGCACGCTTTAAAGTTCAGATTCAGGGCCCTCAGTCCTCAACTGCTCGAGCGACTCAACACGGTTGGCCATCCAGACAGTCTTGCCTTTCGAAGCATCGATGGCCTCGGCAAGTCTCGCCACCAAACGGCTGAAGATCTTTTCGGCCAGCCGTCGACGGTCCTGGCTCAGCGAACGTCGCACGCTGTCGGCCTGCAAAACCCGCAAGGCCTCAACGACTGGCACAACTTTTTTTTTCCCAAAAATTTTCCCGGCGACCTGACCGAACTCCGTCGCGAGTTTGTCGACGGCCAGCTGGCCTTGCACAACCTCAATCGAACGACCTCGAACGTCCTGCCAAAACGAATCCCGCATTCCTTCCAGCAGTGCCTCGGCACGGGAACGAACTTCGGCGGGTTCCAAATTCCATTTGGAATTGGCTCTGGGGCCTTTGGCCATCAGCTGAGCCAACCAGCATATGCAAGCGAAGGACGAAAGGCAGAAGTCGCCCTTTCGCACTAGCTCGTCGTCGTCCTCCTCATCATCCTCCTCTGGCCTATCGCCCTCCCCGTCCGGCTCCTCTTTCACCACGCCCGGCTCGGCCGGCTCCTCTTTGACCTGCTTGCTCTTGGCCTTTCTCTTGTGGATCCGCTCGTGCTTCGTCATCGTACTGCTCTTGCTGACGTGATCCTCCGCAGACGGCAGAACTGCCTCCTGCGAGTCCTCCTGCTCGTCCTTCTCCTGCTCGTCGTCCTGCTCGGTCTCGGACGACGACAAACCGTCCGCCAACACGGCCGCCGCCCGACCGACGATGGCATCCCGACTCCTTCCAGCAAAGTTGTGGCTAGGTGTCCCTCCGAGAAAGTCCACCATCCAGCGAAAGATCCAAAAGAAGAAGCCCGGTGTCGAACGACCGTCGTCCGCTTGGACCCGAGCGGTGTGTTCGTACACTTCTCCTTTGAAGGTGCCCTTTGCTCCGCACGGCAGAACGACGGCACGCACCGTTCGTTCTGGAAGGGCGGCTGCCATGTTCGCTCGGAAAGCCCCTAGTCTCAAAAGGACTTAAACGAATGCTGACTACCGTGTGCTGTTGCTTGCCACTCTGCTTTGAACTTTGTGCTGCATTCTGCTTCCTCCTGCTTGGGGCCTTTTCAAAACCTCACGTGCCGAAGGACGACGGCGACTCACAGCTGCCCTGCTAAACTCTAGAAGAAAGTCTCTGGCACTGGCAGAACAAAGCAGCTGGCAGCACGTGGCCACGGCACCGAGGACCACGCCGCCGGGTCTTCGTTCAGCGAGGCCTGCCGTGAGCAGTCAAAAGAGCTACTTTGACACCCGAAGAGAAGCAGCCCAAGAAGACCTAGCCAAAACCCCACAAAAAAGCTGAAAAGCACCTGAAACGCACCTCCAAAAAGCTGAAACGCACTCGAAGCCCCTAAAGGTTTCCAAACCCTGACTTTGCACACAAAACCCGCTTAATGGCAGCCCCATACTAAAAGGTTAAGAAATACTCGAGAAAAAGCTGAAAAACACCTGAAACGCACCTGAAAATAGCTGAAACGCACTCCAACTCGCCAAAGGGTGCAATGCCGTCCTTTTCAAGCCAGAAACCCCTGTCATTGTCGAGCGGCACCCCATGCCAAAACTATGCAACCGTGTTGCACGAACGACACAAGAGCTACGTGTGAGACCATGCCGAGAAACCCAAGTAAGACCTAGCCCTAGCCGTGAGACCTAGGTGCATCCTCAGCTGTCCTTCTTGCTGACAGTCCACTTGGCTGCCGGGTCAAGGCCGCGAACTTCGTCGAAGAGCGACCGGCACGAGAAGGAGACCGAGGGGTTGGACTCCGAGTAAACTACGCACGACGGCGAGCTCGCATCCGAGAGGACCCACTTGTCGTCACCCGAAAGACCTGGCAAGGTGGCCGTGGAATCGCTGTGCATGCAACACATCTCGCCGTTCTCGGCCAAGGCGAAGCACTCCAACGTCCCGGAGGCCTCGAGCTTCGGCTGCACGATCTTCAGATTCAGGTTCTCGAACCGCTGCCTGGCCATTGCCTCCAAGGTCTCATACGCACGGCAGCCGGCCGGCAAGTTGACCCCGCCGTCCACGAAGAATTGCACCTCGAAGAACGCCCGGATGGTCTGCTCGTCGATCGTCCCATCATCCACCTTAGGCTCATTGATGTCGACGCCGACGCAGCCGAGCATGCGAAGGACGGCATCGATGGGCAACTCGCCCCAAGTCTTGGCCCTGCCCTGCCACTTCTCGACCGCCTTGCCGCCCGCCCCGGCCGCCTGAGCGGAGTCGGGCGACCCCATCTTGAGGATGGCCTTGATCGCCCCGTCCCGCATGAGGTCGGCGAGTGGCCTGATCCAGGCCGGATTGTCGTCGAGCTGCTGATCGACGAATGCCCGGACTCTCTCGAACGACCCCTGCTGGTACGTCGCCACCGACTTCGCGAACGTTTTCTCGGCCTTCTTCTGGAGCTTGCTTTCTTTGGCCGCCCGGCGAGCGGCTAGTTTGTCGGCCTGCCGCTTCTTGACACTGGCCTTTCTCGAGGCTGCATCACGACGAGGGGCCATGATGACTCCGAACAAAGGACGACGAACGACCACGGACGCAAAGGAGGATGGCTTGCTACAGGAGCTGTCTCACAGGCTGCCCTTGATAAGATAAAGGCCGAGGTTCCTGAAATGCATTGTGAACTGCTATACTCCTACCGCTGCAGTGCGACTACACGTGCTGTTGGTCTATGTCCACGATACTGCAATGCCATAATCTAATCATCACCCCGCAAACCAGAACCCTGCCCTATGCTGCCACAAGTTACATTGCAGAGGCCTCGCAAGAATCGTTTGGGTTTTGATAACAACAGCAGGATGACATAAACTAGTAATGGAAGGATCATTTGCAATCGGAGTTAGGAAGATTCACTTCGGGCTTAGATAAGGTTGCGAAACTACAGCCTGAAGTTTCGGGAGGGGGATGCGAGGGTGTAGGGGTCAGGTTGCAGGATGTCGTTTGGGTTTTAGGGCTGAGTAGCCAGAGCTACGAATCGTGTGTCAGGAGGGTATGCCAGGTATGCTTGCACAATTCTGTTATTGCTCGAACGACTCGAACGACGTTGGGCTTATGTTTCATATTTAATCATTCAACCAATTAGTTATTGGTGTTGTTATCAATATCATATTATCCTGTGTCTAAAATTGTTAGCATAATTATTGTGCCTGCCAGTGTCCTTTTGTGATTTGTGGTTTACTTAATAAACCCCGCGACTGCTCCCATTATTATTTGTTATTGTTGTTATCAGTAATGCTTAATGTACTAAGTAAGACTGCTATTTGTAAGTAATTGTTTTATTAATTGTCGAAGGACCACGCGACCCAACCTCGCGATTGCGATGACCGCGATGACCACACCTGCCGAGAGACCGTTTGGGAGTTCTGGATGTGTTGTTCACAATACCTAAGGAACCCCTACAGTATGCCAATATTGGGTGTTTTCAGGGCTCGAGGTTTGAAGTCTGATTTTTTTGGGGGCTGTGGGACCTGCTGCTCTTGTTCCCTCCAGGCTTTAGCTTTAAGGAGTAGTACGCCAAAAGACACCCCACAATACTTTGATTGCAGAATCACCCAAACTTCGAACGACCAAGAACATATCAGATTACAACCCCAACCCGATAAGCAATCTTGCTTGCATGTAGATGTAACGACTCACCAACCCCAAACCCCGCACAGACCCAACACCCATTCCTTATGTTAGAGTCCAAAGAACAGAGACAACCCACACCACCAAACAATAAACCCAAACCCGGCAAAGCTGCTGGCCTCCTCATTCCGAACGCCCCACGACCTGGCACGAGCAAAAATCTCAATCTCGGCCAAGTGTAACAAGAGTGGCAAAGCAAAGGGCAATGCACATGAGACCCCTTTTTTCATCTTCCCCTCAGAGTGAAGCTACAGGTGTGCCGTGGCACACAAAACGGCTTCGAGGACCAGTTTCACGGCCGATGCGAGTGGCCGTGTCCTGGCTCCTCCCAAAATCAAAAGCGGCCGTCCTTAGGCTTGCAGTTATTAAAGTACAGTACAGTCAGTCCTCGACACACAAACAACGGTTTCGAAGGACGCTTTAAAGAGCCAAGGCACCACGAACGACCTAGTAGTAATCGTACCGGCGACGGCGACGGTCCTGAGCATGTCAGACTCACCCAGATTGAAATACACGCAGCCAATCGCAATAGCTTCTGCAGCCAAGGCACCTCGGCATCGGACATCCAACGAGGAGTCGGCCGACCTGGATGCCCTGGATCCGAAAGGCGATCACGATCACGATCGTCGAAGCGGGCACGCTCGCGATCGTCAAGGCCACGATAGTCTCTCCAGGGTCCACGGCGATCGTCCGGACTGGGATCGCGACGATCGTCACGCCGAAAGTCACGGCGATCCCGGAAGTCCCGATCGTCCTCACGCCGGTAGTCCCGGTCCCGGTCGTAGTAGTCACGGCGGCCGCCGCCATCCCGATCGCGATCGTCATAGCCGCCGCGAAAGTCCGGCTGCTCCCCGCCTCAGTCACTGTACTCGATCGCGAAACGCAGACAACAGCAATGCCTATGTCATGTGACTGTTTAACTTCAAGGGAGTGACGGCGAACGTCGAAATCGTCGTAATGCTGCCGGCCTTTTCCGCCTTTTCCCTGCTGTCTGCTGCCTCAGCTATCAGGTAAATGCAAGGTGCATTGCAAAGCAGCACGAACGACACAAGTCAAGTTAAAAGTAGAAACTCAAAGCCGAAGCGACCCGGAAGACCAGGGATCTCGGGGCGAAGGCGGTCGAGCTCCTTTCGAACGGCCGAGGTTATGGCCGCCGATGGATTGGCATAGGTCCGAAGGTCCGCCTGGTTCTCGCCTCAGTTATTTCAGAAACTTTTCATCTGAATGGTTCGAATCCAACCCATTATTAGCCAACCAAGTCACGCTGGAGGATTTGGAAAATCTCCCGGACGAACTTCGCACCGTCCTCCCCATGGCCGGCGATGTTCCCGACCGCCTTGGATATTGTGAATTGATTGTGCTCGGACAATGAACGACACAGCCCATGCGAATTATTAAAAAGCCGAGCGACACGAACGGCCTTCTCATCGAGCTGCAGTTCGTCCAGCTCCAGGAGAACGGCCGGTGCCACTTTCCAGATGTCGTACCGAACCTAAGTGAGAACAGGATGCACGAACGGACCGAACGCTTAATTAATTATTATTGAGCCAAGGCACGGCATCCAAAATCTCGTTGCCCGTGGCGGGCATGGCAATCTGTGCCTCGGCCGCCCCGAACGTCCCGCGATATTGCGGACGACCAGGAGCGGCCGCATTCGCGGGAT